CCCACTGCGTACGGACCAGCATGTACTGGGCAACCGCTGCATACCAATCAGCATGTACTGGGCGCCTGCTGCATACAGACCAGCATGTACTGGGCACCCACTGTGTACAGACCAGCATGTGCTGGGCACCCACTGCGTACGGACCAGCATGTGCTGGGCGCCTGCTGCATACTGATCAGCATGTACTGGGCGCCTGCTGCATACAGACCAGCGTGTACTGGGCACCTACTGCATACGGACCAGCATGTAGTGGGTGCCTGCTGCATACCGACCAGCATGGACTGGGCTCCCACTGCATATGGACCTGCATGTACTGGGTGCCCACTGCATACAGACTAGCATGTACTGGGCTCCCACTGCATACAGACCAGCATGTACTGGGCGCCCACTGCCTGCCGGCCCATAGAAAGGTGAGGCGACCTGCCCAGGTCACACAGGAGATGAGGGAGCTGCCATGTGTCCCCTACCCTCACCACGGAGCTGAGCCCCAGAAAGGATGGATGGAAGCCCCGGGGTCGGCCTTTCCTCTGTGGGATCCTTGGGCCACCGGCAGCCCTGAGCCTCACCCCCACTTGTCGCAGTGGAAACGGTGACAGGCCACCCGCCACGCTGGCACTGGGCCACGGGCCATGCACTCGGCTGTCAGTGCCACAAGGGGGTGGGACACAGGGTTAACCAGCCGCCAGGCTCACCCCGCAGACCACGCGCACAACCACTGTGCGCCCGACTGCCGGTGAGGCTCACGGCGCGGCCGGGGCACGTGCTGGGTCTTCAGGTTCCTCGTGGGGCGAGGGCTCGTACCCCCGCATGGCCGACGGCGGGTCGACAGACTCCCCTGTGAAGGGCAGGTAGTCACTGTCTCGGCTTTGCAGGCCGCTCCCCATTGTGACCACTCGCCTCTGCCTTTGCAGCCAGAAAGTAGCCACGGGCAGTGTGTCAGGGACGATCGTGGCCGTGTGCCAATAAAACTTTATTTACAGAAGCGGGCGGCGGGCGGGGTCTGACCCACGGCTGTAGCTGCGGACTTGGCCCCTGGGACTGTGGACTGAAAAGAGTGGACCCACGTTGTCAGCCAGGCACAGTGTTTGGGCAGGGGTGACCCCCCATAAGTGCAGCCGTCATCATGGGGGCAGTGGAGGGTCCCAAGGGGCAGAAGCCTGTGGGCTGACTCACAGACATTGAGCACTTGCTGTATGCCGGGCCGTGTTCTAGGCACTAGGGCTGTAGCAGTGACCCACACGAACTCCCTGACGTGGCTCCTGGGCTGACGTCCTGGTGGGAGGGACACCGTGTCTCAAGGATGCCACACACTAGGTGGGATGGTGGGAGCTGCTGTGAGGAAGGATGGAGGAGGAAGGGGTCAGGGAGTCGGTGGGGCTGCCCTGGGGAGGAGCCGAGGGGAGACCAGGGGAAGGGCATGCAGGGCGGAGGGCACAGCGGTGCAAAGGCCCTGAGGCCGCGCCAGGGCTGGTGTGCAGGAGGCAGGGGCGGGGCGGGATGCGGGGGCTGGTGTGCAGGAGGCAGGGGCGGGGCGGGGCGGGAGGCTGGGGCGGGGCGGTGCTGGGCCCTGCAGGCCGGCCCGACGCCCCGTCTGCCCGCAGGACGGCCTTCAACAACAACGTGGGCGTGGCCTACGAGTGCCTGAGCGCCAGCGGGCGCAAGAAGAAGCCGGGGCTGGACGGGCGCACCTACAGCGAGCTGCTGAAGCGCGTGTGCCGCGACGGGGAGGCCCCCGAGGAGGTGGTGGCGCCCCTGCTGCGCAAGATCCAGTGCCGCGACCACGAGGCCGTGCCGCTGGGCGTCTTCCGCGCCGGCATGCTCACGTGCTTCGTGCTGCTGGAGTTCGTGGCGCGCGCCGGCGCCCTCTTCCAGCTGCTGGAGGACCCGGCCCTGGCCGTGGCGGACCGCCGCGTGGGCCAGGCCGTGCTGGACACCTTGGAGGGGGCCCTGCAGGCCGGTGACGGCCCCGCCGCGCCCGCCCGCTACCTGGAGGCCGGCTCGCGCCTGGGCCCCGACAGCCTGGCGCTCGCCATGGACCGCGCGCTGGGGGCCCGGCGGCCCGGCGCCCCCATGACCCGCGAGGAGTTCCTGGAGAAGGCCGCCGCGCTCTTCATCGCCAAGGTCAAGCCGGTGGGCTGAGCCCCCCTCGCCCGCCGCCGCCTCCTTCGTGTCCCGGGCTGGACATGGGTCTGAGACCAGGACTGGGGTGTCCCTGCATGCGGGGGGTGCGGGGAGCCCCCCAACCAGCTTGGGACCTGGAGCGACGCCCCAGCCTCTGCATGGGGGAACCCGGGGGTCCCGGGAAGTGAGCCCCCTGCCCGCACCCCCGCAACGGCCCCCCGCCCCCCGGCAGTAATAAAGTCCGTCCCCGAGCCCGGCCTGGTGTTTGTGTCCCCCCCCCACCTGTGTCCACGCCGGCCGCACGCCAGGTCCCACCGCTGTCCCAAGGCCAGGCTCGCCCCAGGACGCCCTGGACTGCGCTGTACGGGAGCAGAGGGCACCGGGGCGCCTGGCGGGGTGGGCTTACTGCACTCACCACTGCCCATGAGGAAGCAAATCACTACCCACGCCAGGCAGATGGGGAAACCGAGGCCCAAGGAGGTGAAGGGTCACACCGCCAGCAAGGGGCTGAGCCGGGATTTGAACCCGGGTCCCGCTCCAGAGCCCACACCCTACACTGCCTCCCCTGCCTGCTGTCAGTCCCTCCAGCATCCATGCCCACCCGTGAGACCCTCCAGTCACTGTTCACCGGGCACCGGCCTCCCCTCCCCCAACCACAGAAAATCCGCAGGGAGCGGAGTCCCGGCCCGGAACCACCGCCAGCAGTGGCTTCACGGGGTCCCGGTCTCCTCTTCCGTCAGGGGGGTGAGGACGGCCCCTCTTCTGACCGAGGGAGACCCCCACAGGACCAGAATTTAAAGCTTTACAAGCTGCCAATGGCAGGGACCCCCTTGTCCCCCCCAGATCTGCCTTCGGCGTAGGGCCAGCATTCAGTGGACCTAGGAGCCAGCGCACCAGGCCGGTTTTCCAGAAACAGCCACGGGGATATTTCCGCCCCCACACCCCATCGAGAGGCAGATCAGGATGGAATCTGTGTCCCCTCCCCTGAGCTCAAGTGGCTTTTGTGACACCACATGCCTTCCATGGCTAGGTCACAGAAGGTGACACCACCGCCCACGGGAGGCTGGCCTGGGCCTCAGGGCCACGTTGTGGGGAAGCCCGGGCCACGTGGAGGTTCCCGCCTGGTAGACTCGTGGGCTAAATAAACGATTGATTTATTGATTTATGATAAAAGCCCGAGTTCTGGGCTCGTCTGTTACGCAGCAGTGGTAGCCGGAAGATTAACAAAGGTGCCCTTCAGTAAGTGTTCGCGGTTAGTACTAGAGTATGTCACCAGCCCACGCACGGGAACGCGCCCGAAGCATCAGCATCTGTGGCCTCGGGCCGGGGACCGCACACCCAGGAAGCAGCAGGGGACAGATGTGGGTGAGGCCGGGCGGACCTTCTGCGTTAGTCCCGAACTGTCCCCGAGACCAGGACGGGACTCACGGCCCGGGCACCCTCTGGTCAGCTCTGTGGTCCCCGGGCAACCCCTGCCTCCCGGTCATCAGAACCAGGCAGGGCACTGTGCAGTGGGTGTTGCTGGTGCCACCACATCCTCATCGCAGGTCGCGGCTGCCCCTCGAGAAAGGAGGAGCCACACGGCCCAGGAGGGTCCATCCCTCCCTCCGGGGCAGATGTCCCCAATGAGTGACACTGGGGGCACCAGAGCCGGCCCCATCGCCTCAGGTGGAGCTCTCGGGGGGCAGCTCACGCTCCAGCCCCCCATCAGGCTGAGGGGACCCCAGCCGGGACCACCTCCCTGCCTTGTCCAGCTCCCCTCACCGTCGCCGAGTCGCCGCCACGCTTGGTCGTGGGTCCGGAAGCCCCCTGTTATCATGATCCCCACGTGACCTCTGCCGGCACCGCCCCGGGAAGCTGCCCTGTTCTCCTCACCTGGCCTCGCGGCAGCGTGGACCATGGAACCTCCCGCTTCTGGGAACACCCCCTCCCCCTCCCCCTCCGGCCCCACCTCGCGGTGGTCCCTCTGCTGCCCCCGAAGTCTCCTCCTCTTCCCAGCTCCCCAGGGAGGGCGTCCCCTGGCTCCGTCTGGGGCCTCTCCTGTCCTCACCTCGTGCATCCTCATCCCCTGGCCTCTCTCCAGGCCCTCGGCTTCAGTTACCGCCCCGGGGGGGCCAAGGCGTCTCACATTCATCTCTCAGGCCCGGCCCCACTCTGCTCCAGCCTGCGAGAGCCAACCGCCTGCTGGGCGTCTCCTCGGGCACATCTCAAGTACGTCCCAGGCCTGCCACGTCGGGGACAGAGCCTCTGGTCAGCCTCCCTGATCCCGGGGCTCCTCTGGGTGTCTGGTCTCTGAGGAAGCCCCCAGTCCGCCCAGACACTGAGATGGAGATGGGGGGGCTGGGCTGAATGCCCCCCGACCCTCAGCTGGCGGTGCTCTGCATCCTGTCGGTTGCACCTCCACTCCATCCTGCCTGCTCCTCCTCTGAACTGGTCCAGCCTGCATCCTCATCCACCTGGGCGACCCCACCAGCCAATAGGAGTGCTCCCGGCACCCTGGCCCCAGTGATTGGTTCAGGAACAGCATGTGACTCCCGGCTGGCCAATGAGACGCAGCCCTGGGATTTTTTTCTGGGGTGGCTGAGCTGGGAGGACCCGGGCCCGGATTCTGGAGCCATCTTGTCACCACGAGGCCTGCAAACGAAGCCAACACTCAGGAAAGCTGAGCCAGGAGACTTCCCAGCTACTTTTCTGGCCTCTGTCCCCTCACTCTGCCCCAGGCACGCTGGTCTCTAGCTGGTCCGGCTTGGCCCTGCCTCAGGGCCTTTGCACGTGCTGTTCCCTCTCCCTGTGACACTGTTCCTCCAGACCCACGTGGCTCACTTCCTCACTGCATTCTAGTTTCTGCTCAGATGCCACCTCCTGACCACCCACTCAAAATAACCCTCCTGTGCCACCCCCGTTGCTAACACCTACCATGCTGTATTTTTCTTCTTCATAGTAATTATTGCTATCAGAAATTGCTGTTTATTCATCAGCTTGTTTACGGCCTCCCCGAGGACAGGGATTTCTGCTCCTTTTGTTCACTGCTGTGTCCTCAGCGCCTAGATTTGTGCTTGGAAGGCCACGAGTGAGTGAATGACTTAATGGCTGAATCAATTTTCCAGAGGAGGAATCTGAAGCCCATAGAGATAAGTGTATTCAACTCCTATGGGTGTTGTCACAAGTCACCACAAAGTTAGTGACTTAAAGAACACGAGTTTACTATCACAGTTCTGGGGGCAGAGTCCTAAAATCCAGGTGTGGGCAGGGCTGGTTCCCTCTGGACGCTCCAGGGGAGAATCTGCTTGTTGCCTTTTCCAGCTTCTGGAGGCGTCACATCCTGGGCTCAAGGGCCCTTCCTCCATCTCCGAAGTGCATCTCTGCCGTCGTCCCATCGCCTGCTCCGCCTCTGACCCTCCCGCCTCCCGTGGCATTACACAGGTCCACTTGGATAACCAGGGTACTCTCACCATCTCGAGGTTCTTAATCTCATCTGCAAAGTTCCTTTAGCCATGTGAGGCAGCGTACCCACAGGCTCCAGGATTAGGACGTGGCGTCTGGGGGGCCCTTATTCTCCACCACCATAAGTAACAGATGGCGCAGCCAGGGAGAGGCAGAGCTGGCTTTGGGGCCGGTTCTGTAGCATCCAAAGCACACCGGCCCCGTAGCCTTTGTCTTCGACTCCACGTCCCTCTCCCCTCAAGGGGCCACATTCTCTCCTGTGCATCCCTTTTTACTTCACCCCCGCAGCCCCTCCGCCTCGTGAGATCATGTGTTTCTTCCCAACAGGCATAATTGCAGCAAAAACACTATCGTCTCTGTCTCTATAACATTCTCAGTATCTATGCCGAGAGCTTTTCAAATATTATTTCATGAAACCCATTTTACAGATAAACTGAGACTTGCTTTAGCATTTGAGGACCGTTTTCAAGGTCACAGCCGAACTCAGATTTGAATGCAGGCCTCTTCTGTGGCACATGGTGGAAGGCCCAACTCAAACTGGCTTCATAAGAAAAGAATTTATCAGCTTGCATCATTGGCACATTCAGTGGAGGTCAGGCATGGCTGGATCCAGGAGCACAAACAGGGTTATCAGCCTTTCTGGTCAGTCGAGTCAGCTTTCCTGAGTGTCAACTTTGCTCACAGGCCTTGTGGTGATGAGATGGCCCCATAACTCCAGGCCCAGGTCCTCCCAGCTCAGCCACCCCAGCTCGGTGTTCCCAGAAAAAGTCCCAGGGATGGCTGAGTCATGCTGTTACTGAACCAACCGCTGCAGCCAGGGGGCCTGGGGAACTCTGATCGGATGACCCATCCCTGCAGCCAGGCTTGGGGGTCAGTCCAATTCCAACCCTACAGACTAAGAGTGAGGTTCCCCCCCCAAGGGAAAACCGAGGTGCTGTGGCCAGAAAACAGGTAGGCAGAGACCCCAGATGTCCACCACCCCGGGGACGTTTCAGAGCCTGAGGAGCAGGCTTTCCTGGAGGACGAGGCCCCACGTGGGACCAGCTGGAGAGGCCATAAACCCGGTTTACATCTCCAGTTCCACCCCACCCACGCAACAACCCCCCTGGGATGTGCGGTGTTGTAGGAAAGATCTCAGGAAACCTCTCTGGAAGAGTCATGATTAATCATTATTATTCATCGACGAGCTGCCACATGCCAACGCTGTGACACTGGCGCCATGGGTGAGATGAGGGTCAGAGACACTTGAACACCTGGCAAAGGGCACACAGCCCACCTTACAGAGGACGGGCCGCTTCAGGTCCCTGGGGTACAGGGCAGAGGGCCAAGAGATGAGGCCCAGCGCCCCTTAATGCATCAGAAAGCCAGGGTCCCGGCCCTGGGCGGCCCTTGGAAGCTGCTGCTCTGCCCAGGGCTGGCTCAGACTCCTCCGTCCCTCCCACCGCTGACATTGTTTTCCTTCCCCCACACGGGGTCGCCTGGCTGTCCCCAGCTAGACGAGGCCAGGGGCCAGGCGTTGGGGCACCTGGGGGAGGGAGTCAGCTCAGCCCAGCCCAGGTGTCAGGTGTTGCAGCTGTTGGCTGCCCGGGACACCTGCCAGCACCAGGGCCACGCCCACCCTCCTGGGGAGCCGTCACCTGCAGATGGGAGGGATGGAGGCCAGGTGGCCACGCCCACCCTCCTGACCTAGAGTACTAGCGCGGTCGGGGGGGTGTCTGGGCCCACCCTCAGCCAGGTCAGAGCTCAGGCGGGTCCGGTGAAGCCCAGGGTCAGGGCTAGCTGGGGTCAAAGGTCAGCCTGAGATCAGGGCGCAGCCCGGGTCAGGCTCAGCCTGGGCGTTCGGCCGGGATGGGGGCTGAACGGACGCCGAACGGGGAGGAGGACTAATTTCCAGTTTCTCGGGGGAGCAGCGTCAATCTCCTGGGATTCCAGTTCGCGGGGTGAATCAAGCCGAGGGGTAACTTTGGGGTTTCCCCGCTGACCCTCGGGTCCCGCCGAGCTCCGCCCCTCCGAGGGGAAACCGAGGCACCGCCCGTGCAGGACGCCGTCTGCGGGCCGGGCCTCCCCGCACCGGCCCGGCTTCCTGTCTGCCCGCCCGGAGCGGCCGGCGGGGACCCACGGGGAAACTGAGGCTCGGGCAGCGGGGTCGGGCCGCCCCGGCCCTTCCCTCCGCCCCGCCCCGGCCGGCCCCGGCCTGCCCCGCCCCGCGTGGGGACGTCACAAAAAAGGCCCCCAAGGCCGGGCGGGCCGGGGGTCTCAGCCCAGCTCCGCCGCCTCCCCGCGCACAGGTCCGTAGTCGTCCGCCCGGGCAGCGGCGGCCTCCGGCGTCGGAAGCGCAAGGCGCCTGCGCACTCGGCCCCTGCTCCTGCGGCCGCTCTCGCGTGCACGGGGCGGGACTCCACTTCCCGGCGTGCCCCGCGAGTGGGCACGCAGGCGCGGTCGGGGCCTGGGTTGGCGGCGCGCAGGCGTGGTCGGGACCCGGC